TATATATATATATATATATATATATATATATATATATATATATATATATAAATTATGCATTGCTGTGTATCAGACAACCTCAACAATTTACCAAATGGATGCAAAATGAAAGATATTCATTTCCATCTGGCACTAACCATGTATTCCTTCATAATACTAAGCTATAAGAAGGTCCCCAATGAAACCCCTGCATTCACACATCATCGAGATTCTAATCTCAACATTTATAAGCAAATATTTGTAGTGCCCGCAAATTTTTATATTAGATGAGACTAAAAATTCAGAAATTTCAATAGGTGCAAGTAGTTTTTCCTCATAAGAAGGATGATATCAAGACTCTGTCAGCATTTACACATCAAATTATGCCATTTCTGAATAGCCCAGCATATCCAGAAAACAAAACCATAAAGTATATGTGGCTAATTCATGTACATACAGTGTAATAAGCCTAAAATCAAAGGGATAGAAAAATGTATGGGGTTCAAAGGGTTAACACAGTACTGTGATTGGGTACAAAATGTCCTGCTACAAAGTACAAATGCAACCGGTAATGTGTGTCTTATTTGAAAAAATGTTAGATTTGTACAGAAACATTTATATTGAAATTTTAAGGAAAAAATGTCAATGGTTCAAATTATACTGTGACACAAATTTTAGGCCATACTGCCTAGCCAAAAGATGGTGCCTATGTTCTATATTTTATAGTGTTGTTTTATGCAATCTGTTTATGATCTTGACTTGGTCTCGCCCTGCCTTGTCTTGGTCTCCATACACTCTGGTCTTTGTAATGACTTGGTCTCAGTTTAGGTGATCTCGATGATGTCACCAGGTTACAGTACTGTAACATTAAATGTCAGGCAGCACTGTACAGTAATGCTATCTACAGCTCTGCCCAATCCCTGCAGTGCACTTGCCCTGAGACATTTTTCCATTGAACCAACAGGCAAAATGAGACATGTCATTTTAATCAGATTTAATCAGATGCCTTTGTCTAACAGGTTGCCTTATGCACAGGCTCACAGGGTAACTGGGTAATTGGACAAATGCATTAAATAAATTACTTCTGAAATGTTTGATGAAACTCCTAATTGAACAGGAATTTGATATTTTCAAAGGCCTAATATTTATGGCATAAGACTAATTCATTTTAACCCTGATTGTCAAAATGACTGTTTCTATATGACTGAAAATTGTAAATATTTTACTATAATTATATATATATTAAATGTTTGTGTGTTCCATGTTATATTAAGATAAGCCCCGCAATTCTCCCAGTTTGAGTTTTACAAGCATTGTAAACTATAAATGAACCTTTTTTTTTATTTTTGATAATACTTTTGCAGATGGTCACAATGCACATAATTAGAAACTGATATGCCATTTAAAGTCTAATCCCTTTATTCCTGTTTCCTATTCCTGCGGTTGTTTCATTGTTTTAAGCCCCACAAACCAATTACATTACCAATGATTCCGAAGCTCCCCTTGTTGCCTAGCAACTGGCCGTGGAATTCCTGGGGAGGCAGTCGTGTCCACTTTGGGATTTTGGGTGTGTCTGTGTCTGTCTGTGCAAGTTTCAGCACCTGTCATGCTCACTTAGTGTGTAAATTGCATGAACTGATATGTTAAACTTGTTTTCTGCGGATCTGCCAAGTGAACAGGAAACATAACCACAGAATGTGAATGTCACTAAAACCATTTCCTTTTCTGTCTGCTGTCCATTTTTCTTATTAATGTCCTTTGCTGGCACCAATTTAGTGCTGCACTGCTGTTGGCAGACTGTCTAAGTACCACTCGCTAATGTAAGTGTTCAGCCTGTCCTTTAACTGAAAGGACCTTCTAATGGCAGCTAATTAGCAAGTTAAGAGCAGTCGGAATCAACCTTGACCAGCGTGTGCCATGTTTATACTCCACTCTAAATATAGTTTTTGAGGGCTTTATAATGTCTATTTGGCTTCAGTGTCTTCTCCATGAACACACATCTTTAAAGACTGACCCTAATCACCCCTGGCCTGTATCTGCCCCATGATGACAGCCAGAGAAAAATGTCCCATTTTCATCATCTCTCATCCGTTTTCAGGGTCTCAGCTTTGTGCCACGTTCTTTCTTGGGCGGTTTTCTGATTGTGGTGACTTACATATTGGAGTTTGCTCCAATTAAAGATGCTGCCAGTTTCCTGCTGGACCCTGGGTCGTGCTGGAGAATTCTGTAATGAAACACAGCGCTGTGCTTTTAATAGACGGCAAACGGATTGCAGGTTCAGAAGGCTAGAGGTGCCGCGCGTGGGAGGGAGGGGAACGATATCAAAAACAAATAAATACCCCTGGAAGGCATGATGAAAGTTCTCCAGCACAGAGAGACTGAGGGGGAGGATATGGAAGATCACGGAAAGCTAGTCAAAATTCCCAACTTCAGGGAAATCCTGTCCAGCATGTGGACAGAGAGACAAACACAGCATGAGACAGCAGCAACACACCCAAAAAATGTGGGAAAGCTGGACCCACATTGCTATGTAATGCTAATTGAGGCAGAAGCAGAGTCACGCTGCAGTGCTATTGAGAGTTCATCAGATTCTGATAGAAATACAAGCATGAGATCATGGTGTGTTGCTACTGTAGCATCCAGCAAGACTGGGCATGAAGGGAGAGAGAGCGAATGGGCATTTAATACCAGTCGTAGACTGTCAGGGTAGCGTGGCTCATCAGTTCTGGCAGTGAGGATTAATGCGCGGGCAATAAAAGGATATTAGAAAATATGAAAACTGCAAAGGGAAGGAGAGCGAGGGAGAGCGAGGGAGAGTGTTTGTGAGAGAGAATGACAGAGCGAGAGAGAGGGGGTGGTAGTCAGACTCAAGGAAACATTTTTCTCCCAGTCCTTGTCGAGATTATGCAATCCATCCTGCCATCTCTGTCTTGCATCCTTCTTTCATTCTGTTGTTCTGTCTGCCTGATATTTGAACTTTGTGTTGTCAATATTGCAGTCCTCCCCCCCATGCCCCCCCCCAGTCAGCACCCAGTCTCACTCCTCCTGCCTGTTGCTTCCCTCATTCACATTCCCTCTTTTTAAACTACCTGTTAATGCTGAGCCTCTGCTCGTGGATTCGTTCATTTCTGAGGGACTTTTTCAATTCCAGGCTGAAACTGAGGTAAGGACAGAAATCATCCTCTTGCTGTCGTTATGAAGTGCTGCTCGCGTTTTTGCTCGCCTCTGTTGTATTGGATCTCTTTTCATATACACTCATCTTCCTCTTCTCTTAGCTGATCAATTTTCCTCTTCCACACCCATCCCACTGTCTTGTTTCCCTCCTCCCCTTCCTTTTCCTCTTCCTTTTTATCTCCTTCTCTCCCTCTTCAGCCTCTTTTTCCCTGTTTTTCCCAGTAAGTTGTGTACAGCCCGGCATTTCATTATTGCATATCGGTGTCCTGGAGATGTACGGCTGGGAATTCTCCTGCTCGCTTTCTGTCCGGCTGTCTGCCAGGTGCCGTCTTGCACTTTACGGCGCTGCGTACTCCAAGGGATGTACACATCACTCAGATGTGGATTCCACATCACTCGGTCTCACTCCCTTGCCACTGTGTTTCGGTTTTCCATGAATAAGAGGGGACTTCGGGGGACTGTCACCTGTGTCCACCTGCTCTGGGACAGCAGGTGACAGGAACAGGAACAGGATCAGGAACAGGAATCCCCACTGCTCTACTGTGACTGTCCTCTTTCAATCCAAACACAGGAGAGGGATGGAGAGAGGGACGAGAGGGAGGAAGGAGACAGCCAGATACCAGAGGGGCTGATGGAGGGCCACGAGGAGCAGGACAGAGCGTGAGGCGAAGCTCGGGGCTCGAACCCGGGGAGACAGAGAGGGTGGGAGGGAGGGACAGAGCGTGAGGCGAAGCTCGGGGCTCGAACCCGGGGAGACAGAGAGGGTGGGAGGGAGGGACAGGCAGGAGTGGGGATTGTGGTGGTGGATGTCAGGAAGTTTCTCTGGTGACACATTCGACACACTGGATAAAAAAGTGATGGTAAACAGACTCCACCTCTGCTCACACCTGGAGTATTAACATACTCATTCCTGGAGTATTAACATACACACATACATACTGCATAAACATACATGCATGCATATATATAGTACTGTGCAAAAGTCTAAGACAGCCAAAGAAAATTATATTTCAATGTTTATGTTGTGTCTTTATGGTGGTGTACACTTATGCTATTGTGCCTGTCAAAGTGTATCGGCTCAGCCATTCCAAACCCTCAGCTAAACTCACCCCATTATTTCCAGCAACCATACAACACACCCAGGTATTTTTTGTACCACTAGCACACCTCATATAACTAATCAATATCTCATCAACTTTTTTTTAACTAATTAAGTTAATTAACTGAGCTGGTGGTGAAATTTAATAAATACATAGAATGGCTGAGGTGCCCCTGTGGAGAGGTTTGGGAACTGAAGAGGTGTTCATCTAGCCATCCACCTAGATATCAGTGACTTTTTGGAGAGCAGAAGATATTTTTACTAGTTTTTATTGTGTTACTCTTAATTTGCATATATTCTAATGTTAAATTGTTTACTGAGTACATATGCACTTACTACCCAGATAAACAGCTTTAAACATTTCTTTTGACCGCCGAAGACTTTTGTACAATACTGTACATTCTGTATATACATACATGCATATATGTACATATAAGCAATTATAAGCATGGATGGATGGAAATGCTGTGTATCTTGTACTATAATTATTATAGTTATTTTTAATGAGAAAATGAGGCTTCCCAAGTCTCAGAGTGGGATTTCCCAGTTCATACAGGTTTGCTTACTGGTTCCCCACACGTCATTGGCATTTCTTTGCTACCTACTCTCCTGTTAGCTACTCCCCACCTTTTCAGGCTGGCTTCTGTCCCCATGGGACACGCGAGCTGGTCTGATGACAGGGGGGGATCAGAGCCACACTTCTCAGGACACAGTGTCATCTTTCTGTGTCTGGGTGGGGATCCACACTCTGCCCCCCAGGTCCAAGTCGCCCACTGTGAAGAAGCTGACAGTGTCCATCCAGGAGCACATGGCCATTGATGTGTGCCCCGGACCCATCCGGCCAATCAGGCAGATCTCCGCCTACTTCCCTCGTCTTTCCCCTCCCTCACCTGGGGGCGGGGCCTCTGCAGCAGTGGCCAGCAGCCTCCTGTCTCCTTTGATGGCAGGAGCCTCGGGAGGAGGCGGGGCTCCACTGGCAGCGGATACGTCCATAGAAACGGACAGCTGTGACAGCGATGACGGCAGTGAGATAATCGCTGAGTCGTGTTTGCGGGGTCCCCTGTTATCAGTGTAAAGTTGTGTAGGGTTGCATCGTCATCAGAATCAGAATCTCCATTGTCTTTCAGCATCACTGGGGGCGCTTGAGTTCAGCTTGCTGTACAGGAGACACACCAGCTCCCTGCACTGCACCATCCTCAGAGCCAAGGTACCAGCCCCGATCACTGGCCACAGGGACACACCCAGCCAGTGGACACTGGTGCACTGCAGACTCCTGCACGCCGAGGGTGTCGAGGCAGCAAATTGAGTGATGAATGAGCTTGTGGAACACAGGAGATGATGTGAATGATGGGCCGTGTCCGTCCGCCAGCAGAGACGCAGCCGGAGCCCCGTAAGGGCTGTGGGATCAGTTGACACAGCCCCTGCCCAGCAGAGTTAATGTGCTGACAGGAATAGAGAGGATAATTACAATTAACGGGTTGAGTCAGTAAGCATATAATTGTGGCTCTTAAGCGCAATGGCCGCTTGCTGCTGCAAAGAGGTTTTCAACTGTATTAAAGCCACCCCACTTTTACCCTGCTACTACTGTGAGTGCCAGGATGTGGGGGCAGACACACGTATGTGCCCTTATACACGGGTGAGGACGCAGGTACATACAGGTGTAGAGCAGGTACATACAGGTGTAGAGCAGGTACATACAGGTGTAGAGCAGGTACATACAGGTGTAGAGCAGGTACATACAGGTGTAGAGCCTAGCAGATGGAGAAGCAAGTTAGACACAAAAACTGAGCCCTGGGTGATTATTTGGCTGTCGCCCCCTCCTGCGGAGGTTTGTCCCAGGCTCACGACTCCTCTCCCCCCCCCACAGGGTCTTAAGCCGATGGACTTCGATGGCCTGGCTGACCCCTACGTGAAGCTGCACCTGCTGCCCGGGGCCTGCAAGGTCGGTGCCCATTAACAGAGGAGCAGTGGTTGAGTTGGTGCCGCTGGGGGAGCCCCCTGCAAAAAATAACCCCCTCCTGCCCTGCTCTGCCCCCCAAAGGCCAACAAGCTGAAGACCAGGACGGTACACAACTGCCTGAACCCAGCCTGGAACGAGACGCTCACCTACTGGGGCATCACTGAGGAGGACATGCACAGGAAGACCCTCAGGTACCAGGCGTAGCATATGAGGCGGGGGGAAGGGCAGAAGTGATATTAAAATGATACCCCCCCCATACACAGCACCATGGTATCTCCCGAGTCCCAATGCACCATAGGAAACACAGCAGCATAACTCCATCGCCAGATTCCAGTCACAGTAACTTGCCTATAATTACATTTGCATGTTGTAGAACAAAATTTGTGAATTTCAGATAGATTACAGGAGAATTTCTGCAGAATGATTTCCGCCAGACGTGGCACCCTGCTGCGGATCAGCAGTGTGAGCCACAGCATTACCCTCCCGCGTGCAGTTGGCTCGTCTATCCGGAGCCCAGGTGTCAGTTCCTCTCCTTCCTCCTGTGTGTCTGTCTCTTGCTCTCCTGCCTCTCTCCTTTGAGCCATTCTCTGGCCCGGTTTAGCACACAGAGCCTGCAAAATTTCCCTCTGCTAACATTAGCGCATGTTTGCGTGTGCTTGGGAGGTCTTTCTGTATCTCTGGAGCTCTCTTTGATTGTATTGCGCTCTCACACGCTGTTACACTGCCAGAGGAGAAGCACTACACTGTGCTTCTGTAAGTCGAGGGAGCAGAAAGACTGCACGTCGAGTGAGAGTGATTTTCATCACAGGGTCCCCTGGGAGCTGTCGCCGTGCCGACAGCGCTCAGCTTACCTGGATTCCCCTCGTGTTGGGAATGAAACCTCGCTACACTTTAGCTAACAGGCCAATATGACAGAGATAACGACTGTGCCTCTAAAATACTAATGAATGGTATCCCGGGGCAACAGCTCAAGGATGTTTTTCATTTGTTGCATTGTTAGTGTTAGCTTACGAGCGGCTGGCACGTTGGTAATGGAGGCCAGGGACAGATTAGCCCTCCCTTGGAGACCCCATGGTAACCCTTCAAACAGCTTTTACTGCCACATCTTGCAAGTGAGTTTTTTCACTACCTCGCTTCATGAAGAGGCCTGTAGACGTGTTTAAGTGCATGGAAGGCACTGGGGGTGGGCGGGGGGGTGAGGGATTCAGAGCCTTTCCTGGCACCTCGTAGCTGTCAGCTGGTATTATAAATGGCCTCTTTCCCTAAAGGTCAAGGAGCTGTGATCTATCAGCATGTCTGTCGTTAGATCCATCACACGCGGACACAGTAACACGCTGCCGCTGCTCATGGGCAGCTACGCCTCCTTTTTCTGAACTCTCCCTGTTCGTGGTAAAACAGTTAATCAGCGCATTAATAACTGCAGAGTCACCTCTATGGTTCATTATGAGCCCAGCAGCAGCTCAGTTCTGAGGATTGCGAGGGTCACGCAAGGCTATGACACACCAACACTCCAACAATTCCAATGGTCCAACACTCCAACACTGCAATACTCCAGGGGTCCAACTCTCCAGCAGTCCAACGCTCCAGCTCCCCAACACTCAAATGATCCAACACTCCAATGATCTAACGCTCCAATGCTCTGGCGCCCCAGCATGAAAGAGGCAGCTGGGCCGTGTTTCGGCAGGTGGTGTGAACATGGCATTCCCAGCCAGCATCACAACATTTGTGTTTTCGGTTTCTCCCTCTTCATTCTGCTTCATTCGTGTTACGTGCTACCAGCTTCAGTTTGCTGATATGAACGAGAAAGGTAAGAATGGGGTCCAGATCACTCTGACCACTCAGATCACATCTCCTTCCATGGCCACAGACAGTCCCAGGCATTTCTAAGCCAGCTGGGAGATGTGGCCCCTCCAGTGTGTCCCAGTTTGGCCCCGGGGTTTCTTTCTAGGAAGACGTGCTTGAAACAGTTCCTCTGGGAACCAAAAAGGCAACATTCTTATGGTCTGCCCGAAAAACCACAGCTGGCTACTTTTGATCCATCTCATCATGGACCAGTATCCCTGTGGAGAAACCTCATTTTGGCTGCTTGTACTCATGACCTGATTATTTTAGTCATTACCCACAGCTCATGACCATAGATGAAGATAGAAAAGTAGAGAGACTGGTCAGCCATAATTCTCACCTGACGACTGCATCATTTGTGAGCTCCTTCACTTGGAGGAGATACTCCCCCACAACTAAAAGGTGAAGGAGATCGATTGCATCCTCGTAGGCAGACGCTGGAGGCTCCTGCAGAACTACAGAGTCCATAGAAGTGCCCAGTTTATAAATTCTGACCACAGGCTTGTTGTTGCCACTCTGAATATTCAGCTTAGGTTCAGTAGGCTACTACCTACTAGTAAATGATGCTGGACCTGGCCAGACTCCAAGTTCAGGCTGTTTCTAATGAGATTGCATGGTGTTTTGTGTGAGGAATTTGCAGACTTGAGTATGACTGCCAATTCTAATGTAATATGGGAGACATTCTATGACAAGATCCTGAAGGTTGCTGAGTGTTGTGTTGGTGTTGCCAGTATTCCCAGAAGGAGGTATTTCATCTTGCAAGGCACCCTGGATATTATCAAGAGGAGTCGCAGCGTACAGCTCGATGTCAACTCCAGTCTGAACCAGGAACTGAGAAGGACAGCTGTGAAGATAAAGAGGCATTTGTTAGAGTGATATGTGAGCAAGTGACACATTGTCGATGGTCTAGCGACCCACATCCTGCTTACAGAAGAATCGAAGCACTTCCAAATCCGCTCCTCAGAGAGTCACAGTCAGGACAGGTGATGGAACTGTCCTTACAGTGACACTGCAGTTGTGGCTACATTGAGCAGCTGTTTGAAGCTGATTCTCCAGCTAGGACTTTGGGCATCTCTGGGTCCACAGTTCTTTAGGCTGATCCTCTGATTAGCTGTGAAGTTTACAAGCAATCTTTGCTTCCATTTGGGAGACAAACATCATTCCAGCTGACTGAAGATCAGGGCTTGTTGTCCCTTTTTGGAAAGTGAAGGGTGATTTTCTGGATTGTAGCAGCTACAGGGGGATAACACTGCTGTCAGTGCTGGGTAAAGTCCTTGCTAGGCTCATCCTCAGTAGGATCCTTGACCAGCTGCTGATCTATCAGCAATCGGAGCAGTCTGGTTTTACGCATAAGAAGTCTACCATAGAGCACATCTTGGCACTGAGTGGTCTCATTGAGCAGAAATGCAAATATTAGCAGAGTTTCTTTGCAGTCTTTGTTGATTTTTATTGACTCAGTTGATTGAGCTGCCCCATGGGACATCCTGAGAGTTCTCAGGAACCCCCCAAAGTTGCTGTACATCATGGCCAGCTTGTACACTGATACTGTGAATGCAATGCAGAGTGGAGCCAGAACCTCTGCTCTTCCCAGTAGATTCTGGGGTTCATCAGGGGTGTGTTCTTGCTCCTACTCTGTTTAGTGCTTGCATGGACTGGGTGTTGGGCAGGGTCATGGGGTCCAGCAGCTGTGGGGAATCTGAAGAAAGAGTCATTGATCTTGAGTTTCCCAACCTGAGACTCTTATAGGGACTCTCGAGAGACTGAGTGTCTGGATTTGCAAATGTCCTGAAAAAAAAAACAAGATTCAGGCCATTAATGACCTCTTGGGCACAGCCAGCAGCAGTGTCTGTCCGTGGAGAGAACGTCGACCGCGTTGAGAGGTTCAGTTACCTCAGTAGTGACTTTCATGTCTCTGGTGACTCTTCCTTTGAAGTCAGTAGATGGACTGGGAGAGCATGAGAGTCATGAGGTCCCTGGAAAAGGGTGTGTGGCGGTCCCAATATCTTTGTAAGAGGATGAAGATCCAAGTCTTTAGAGTCTTGGTGCTTCCTGTTTTGCTGTATGGCTGCGAGACATGGATGCTCCATTGCATGACCTGAGACTGGACTCCTTTGGTACTGTCTCCCTTCAGAGAATCCTTGGTTACCTCTGGTTTGACTTTGTAAGGTTGCTTAGGGAGTCCTGAATGAGGCATATTACCTGCATTATGAGTGAATGTTTCCTATGGCACTATGGTCATGTGATGCAATTCCCTGAGGATGATCTGGCTCACAGGATCTTCATTGAACTGTGTGTCAGCCTGGGGGTTGTCAACTGGGATCCTAAGGTGTTTCGTTGGGTGGCGGGTGCAGCAATGTGCTGTGCCAGTGCATGCTACCCAACCTCAGATTCAGGTTGGATGAAACTAAGAGAACAACAGCATCTCCAAACAGCAGGGAGATCACCTCCAGTCTTCTACCTTTTCACAGTCCTGTTATTCTCACCAGGAGCTCAAGCTTCAGATCACACTGCTTATTGAAACATGTAAACATGTCCACCCCATAAAAGTCGTGATATTTTCTCAAATCCAAAACAAAAATCACATTCAACGTAAATTCAAAAACTGCCAAGCCATACAGTTCTGTATTATTCAGAGTTATTGTAATTACTATTTTCAGCCAGTTAACCTGTCAACATTCTCGTCTGTGTCCTCTGCCGTGAGCATTACTGATTTGTCAGTACATTTAGAATTTATATCCTGAACCTGTAAGCCCAAGACTCAACCTGACAACATCTCTGGGATAACCTGGAAATGAATCCTCTGTCATGGTGATCCACCTCAAAGCCAGAGTTTTCGGGTACATTCCAGGGGGAACAGACAGCAACACCAGCAGTTCTTCACAGGGAATAAGCTGGTTTGTGGTGCACAGATGAATCATTAGGGCCAGAGGTGAGCAAAGCTGAGAGAAGCTCATTGCCAAATGCGGCCTCCCTCTTCCTGTCAGGGTATCAGCGTGCGACAAGAACCAGCTGGCTGACAACAGCCTCATTGACTCCTCTTTCTCTTGGTCTCTGTATTGGCATTCTCCTTCTTCTCTGTCTGACTTGCTCCGTTCTTCCCCCCGTTTCTCTCCCTCCTCTTGTCAGGATATCGGTGTGTGATGAGGACAGACTGGCTCCTAATGAGCTGATCGGGGAGGTGCGAGTGGCCCTGCGGCGGGTACAGCCAGACCAGCTCAAACGCTACAGCGTCTGCCTGGAACACCCCCCTCCTGTGAGGACAGTCCTGGGGAGGCCTGTGGCCGCAGCACTCGGTGTCATGGTCATTGTGGTCATGGACACACCATCCTGCATGAGGATATGCCATCTCTCCATCTGTTATGTGCAGGGTTGGTTACCAAAACCCACTATGACCAGTATGTACTGGACCATGGTGCAACGCAGATTTCGGTGCCTGACCGGTGCCACTTAAATGCCTGAGCTGATGATTTAAATACTTGTCCTCTAGTGGTGGGGGCAAAAGAAGTATCACGAAACCTCACGTGCCATTGCTAGTTAACATTACACTTGCTCTGATGTCCTTAAACATGATGAAAATATCAAAAAAATATGAAAATACTCTTATGTGCGGCTGTATTTCACTCGAAAGGATTCTGACACCAGGACGTATAACAAATTTTAAAAAATGATTGTGTGCAAAGGGGGAACACATCAAATTTATTTATTTATTTAAGGTGTCATGTTAATATATTCGATTTGAAATTTAATTTGCTTTACAAATAAAAAGCCATTCTTTAATGTTGTTGGCCTTCATTTCGTGCCTTATTTTTTGTTAAGTACCAATGCAGACAACATTTAGGCATGGCACCATTTTAGTATTGTTTTAGCACTGGTATTGGTATTTATGTGTGTGGGTCTTCATCGCTTTACAGTCTGTGTCCAAATGTCCGACTGAGGGCCAGTCCAATTCTACATCGTCAGTTTCTGAGTGTCCCACTGAGGGCTGACCCGATTCTGCATCATCAGTGTCCGAATGTTTCGCCGAGCGCTGGTCCAGCCCTACATCATCAGTGTCTGAGTGTTCCGCTGAGGGCCGGTCTAGTCCTATATCATCAGTGTCTGAATGTCCCACTAAGGGATGGTCCAGTCCTCCATCATCAGGGTCTGAGTGTTTCGCCGAGTGCTGGTCCAGTCCTCCACCATCAGGGTCTGAGTGTTCGTTGAGGGCCGATCCAGTCCTCCATCACCAGTGTCTTTTGTCCCACTGAGGGCTGATCCAATTCTGCATCATCAGTGTCTGAGTGTCCCATCTAGGAAGGCTCACTCTCAATCTCTCTCTCCTCTTCTACTCATCCAGCTCCCTTCTCCCACCACCATGAGTGCAGCTCTGCGGGGGATCTCCTGCTACCTCCGAGAGGTGAGCCCTTTCCAGCCGCACCTACAACCCCCTCCCCCCCGTTGGCAGCTGATTATCCTCAAGAGAAAGCAGTCGACTTGCTGTTTCAGCCATTAAATGTGGGAGTAACATCTCTGCTCTGGGTGCAGCAAACATGCATGATGCCAGAGTGATGTGTAAAGCAGGACAATACCGCCGTCTGATGGAGGAGACATGTAGCGGAACTGGAAGCCTGCCCTTAATGAGGGGACAGGCAGAAATAAATTATACCAGAGGGGAGCGAGAAACACGGTGATGGATGAGAAATAACGAGATGGTTGTGGTCACATGTCAGTGGCAGACGGATGACATGCGTGAGGGAGCGGAGAGCGTGTGCGCAGGTCTCAAAACAGATTCCAACAGAAGGCAGGCGTGACATGAGCCAGGCGCAGAGAGCATCACACAGAGAAAGATTTTTAGACACAACAGAAGGTTCTTTCTCAAAAGGAAATCAAGGATTCATCGCATGGACCTGGTGTTAGCCTCAACATGTCTGTACATCTTTACTTCCAGTGTACCATGTGGATCCGTATTCGCCATGTGTGTAGATCCACTTTGCGCGTCTTTATGTGCAGCGTGCTCCACTCTGCGCGTCTTTATGTCCAGCGTGCTCGTCACTCTGCGCGTCTTTATGTCCAGCGTGCTCCACTCTGCGCGTCTTTATGTCCAGCGAGCTCGTCACTCTGCGTGTATTTACGTTCCGTGCTCTCCAGGCTGCACATGTCTTTACATTCTATGCTCTGCACTCTGCGCACATCTCTTCAGGCTGCACGTCCATGCTCCCCGCGGTGTGTATCTTTACGATCAGTACGCCCCACTCTGCACGTTTTTACGTTCAGCGCACTCTGCTCTGCATGTGTCTTTACATTCTGTGTACTCTCGTCCTGCTCTGCTTCTTTCACATGGTCCAGATGCAGGGGGGGGGGGGTGTTTATTGTTTCCCCTAAATGCATCTCGCTGGACACAGCATGACGACGCAGAGGCGCAGGATGAGTTGGCATTCAGGCCATCTGCAGGGTATCCGTACTAATTAGACCCTGATATTTGGCTCATGACAAGGGTGGGGGTTTGGTGCAGGAAGGTGGGGGGGCAAAACAAAAGAGCTAGAGCCTCAGGTGGTGAGTAGAAAGCAAACCAGGGAATTATACCATTGATTCTCCGTTGGTTTTATGTTATGTTTCTGTCTGAGTACAGAACAATGAAACACCTCTCAGGAATAAAAATGAGAGAGAGAGAAAGAGAGAGGGAGATGAAAGACTAGCAGAAGCATGGAAGAAAAGCTGTTCTGTACATGGGGAATGTTCTTATCCTCTAGGAAACATTGTATAAAAGTTGTACTGATTCCTAGTGCCAACTTTCTCTCTGCATTATGTTCACCAGCGAGTGTGTTCAGGCTGTTTCTACAGCATTCAGCGTCCATGGAATCATGGGAAATATAATATGGTGTGGAACTGCACCCAGGGTCACAGAGATGCTCTGAAACTTTTACCACAACATGACATTGCTGACTAATTCAGTTGACTAATTTACAGTCGATGCTGAAAGCTGAAATGTTTTAGTTAGAGCCAGTAATTAATTTTGCTCAAGCTACCGTGGAGCCAGGCCCTGCTCTCATTTGTGTGTGACTGTACTGTGTCCTGCCGTCCTGTTTCCAGTTCATGTCTCTGACTCCCCCTCAGTAAACAGTGCAAACTGAATTCAGAGTGAACTCTGCAGGGATCTGATGTGTGACCCAGAGGTGACGGGTTGACAAGTTCTTCACATTGTCACTAAAGACTTCAGTTTTATTGGTAAAACATGTCAGAAGCTTACTTCTTTCTCATTTTTTCCCCCCATCTCCTTCACTTACAGTGGGAGACTGAGCAGCAGAGGAGCCAGGAAGAAAGGGGCCGTTTGCTGCTCTCCCTGCAGTTCCTGCCCCCATCTAGGGAGGGTGACAGTGAGCCCTCTGTCACAGTGGAGGGACGGCGTTCAGGGCTGTGCGTGGGAATCGTGCGGTGTGCCCACTTGGCTGCTATGGACGTCAACGGGTTTTCCGACCCCTACGTGAAGATGTGAGGTGCTGGGCAAGGCGGGAAGTGAGGAGAGAAGTGAGGTGGAAAGAGAGGCAGGACGTGAGGTAATAAATGGTGCAGGAAGTGAAGTGAGAAGCAAGGCAGCAAGTGAGGTGGGAAGAGAGGCAGGAAGTGAGGTAATAAATTATGCAGCAAGTGAAGTGAGGCAAGAAGCAAGCCAAGAGATGGTGCAGGAAGTGAAGTGAGAAACAAGGCAGCAAGTGAGGTGGGAAGAGAGGCAGGAAGTGAGGTAATAAATTATGCAGCAAGTGAAGTGAGGCAAGAAGCAAGCCAAGAGATGGTGCAGGATGTGAAGTGAGGAACGAGGCAGGAAGTGTGGAAAGAAATGATGCAGGAAGTGAAGTGAGAAGCGAGGGAGCAGGTGAGATACAAAAAGACGCAGGACGTGCAGAGAGAAGTGAGGCAAGAAGTGAGGTGCAAAATAATGCAGGAAGTGAAGTAAGAAGTGAGCATAATAGGACATTAATCAGATAATCAGTAAACACTTTAGATTTTAGGATCTCATAGAGCGGCACAGGAGCTGATGAAAGATAGTATTTATTTTCGCCATTTTATAGATTCAGCAACTTAATACTGCACAATATGTGCCAAGGAAGGCAGCGAGCATGAGGAACACAAACCGGCCAGCAAACCCACACGCTCTCATTGACACATCCCCTCACTGCCTCTGTGTTCCTGTGCCGTCTCCAGCTGATAATAACAGTTTCAGTGGGGAGTCACAGCAGAGGCGGGAATGAGCCTTTGTGTGTGTGTGTGTGTGTGTGTGTGTGTGCGTGTGTGTGTGTGGGGTCGGGGGAGTCGTACCCTCCCTGAAAAGCAGGCTAACAGCCTCGTTTGTCTTTTGTTCTGTTCAGATACCTAAAACCTGACCTCCACAAGGCATCCAAACACAAAACGGGCATCATGAAGAAGACCCTCAACCCAGAGTTCAATGAGGTACACAGCCCCCATGTCCACTGGCACCCCCCCTCAAACCCTCCCTCTGCTGGTCGTTCACTTATTAGAAATCCGTACCTCCTGTATTTAGTCATGGGCTTGTCAATAGACAAACGGTGATCATGGAACATGATCTTGCCCATATGCAAGGACAATGAGCTGACATGTTGAACATATTTTGCATTTCCTATTGGGTACATGATATCAGTAACATCCATCCAGGATGCATGAGGCCAGCGATCTTCAGAGGATGGCAGATTGATAACCAGAGTCAGGTGAAAATTCACAAAGAGCTCAATCTGCTTATATCATGAAGCCTGTTAGGAAGACATGTGATGTGAAAGAAGCGGTGAAGCCACCAGACACCCAGAGCTACACTGTTACAATCTCCATAGCAGGATACAGGTTGTCAAAAGCCACCCATTCCACGTGGTCCACATGGTCTGGATAAAGCCACAAGCAACAGGATTCTGCTCTCGCCAAACTTTGTGAAAGATTGTGCTTCATGGACAAACTCAGCGGCATTACATTTAGGGCAGAAGAGGAGAGGTTCATTCTCCTGCCTGTATTTAAACTGAAGAAACAATGGAATCAAGACCCAAATCAGGGAATCAAACATTCAACCAGAACAGCAAGTCATAGCAGCATGAAAATCTGCAACAAAACCTTTAAGAAAACACAAAGTCAATGGTCTTAGGCATCATAATCCCCAGACTTCAATGCAATCAAAAGTTTGAGAAAAGAAACCAAGGAACATCAGTACAAGAGCTGTGCGATTGAAGCAAACTTATTTCTTGGTTACTGTTTTTAAAAAGCAATCACATCAAACTTTACCTATGAATTCAGGTTGTTTATAATTTATTCAGGCTAAGAATGTTCTGTAATTTTTCTTCTCTGAATTGGTAAAAAGTGGAGGAACTGCTTTCATAATTTGACCTGTAATACAGATGTGTGAGTTTCGTACTTTTCTCACACCAGCCGGCTCTGAAGGTCTCATTCCCTCACCAGACATAATTTTCCTCTCAGGCTTTTGAGGTCCCTGGTTGAACCTTCTTCTGCTAACTTCGCCCATCTAAAGTCATCTCCACTTGCTCTTCCTCCTCCTCCTTCTCCATGCCCCCACTTTCCCCATACAGGAGTTCTTCTATGAGATCTCTCTCTCGGAGCTGTCAGGAAAGACGTTGGAAGTCACCGTTTGGGATTATGACCTGGGAAAATCCAATGACTTCATAGGTAAGGTTCATGAATTTACTGATTATTCATGACACTTCAAAGTTCAAGACAAAACAGGATAAAATGAGATAAAACTTCTGTTTTGTTACACTGGTAATTATGTCCTAACTTTGAGGATAAGTACATTAAACTGCTCAAATGTCAGTGATACAATGTTTCATAGCGATATGTGCCCTAGGTGGAGTGTCTCTGAGCTGTCAGTCACAGGGAGAACCTCTCCGTCATTGGCTGGACTGCTTGAAAAACAAAGGCAATAGGGTGGAGCGATGGCATACGCTGACCAATAAGCTCCCGGGATCCACCTGCTAGGACTGAATGGCCCAGCCCACTAGGTCTATAGACAACGGGCAAATGTTATATTTCAGTTTCAGTGGATGCAAAACAAATCTATTCCGTTTGAGCAGGCTTGCAAGTGATAACATTTTACAAATCATAGCACATCGCGTGACATTTTCAACACCTAAGTATGGATTACTAAAATAGATAGCATGAGTAGAGATGCATATTAAATAGTCAGATTTTGTACAAGGCTTGCGTTGCTGACATTATTTCTGATTAATAATTATTAGGTTATTACCCATTTGCTATTAATTAAGTTTGGCTGAAGTTACTCTGAATAAAAAGTGCCTCTTTTACAAATGAAAATGAAAAAAAAGTTTAACATTAACTTCAAGTTAATCTCTGACGTACCTAAAACCAGGTATTGCATATATATCATTAACAATTATCTACATGCCTGCCGCTTTCGCTAGCATGCAAATGACAAAATGGAAACGGAATTACTGACACTTTCCTGGAACCTCCAGGCTAAACAGTAAAAACACGTATCCTTTTATCCACAGCAATGAAGGTTGGATATTTTATCATTTAGGCCTATATTTACTGTCTTTTTCACTCTGCCGGCTTTAAATGTGAAACTTTCGCAGTTGGGGGTGTTAACGCTGCTGGCTGGACTGACGGCTTTGAATGACCGGCCGCACCTTCATCTCATTGTTCCCTGAGAAATAATGACCGTTTGGCTCGTGGGTGGCAATAAAAGCAGTAAAATTACGCTGAATATTGTCAAGAATCCATCATCCACGTATTACAACAAGCAGCATTTCCACATGGACGTTTGTGTATATGATAATTAAAGTTAACTTTGCTTGACGACAGACACAGAGTCGTGCCCCATGCTCCTCACCTGATGGTCAGTCTGCCTTCAGCATGCATGTCTTAAATCCTGGCCCATAGGCATATATTAATTATCGCTTTACTGCAGTGCTCACATTCAATATATCATTGGGTTATTGGAAGGGACGCTTCTCTTCGGTTTCTTAAAATCGGACGGCAGTCATCCAACGTCGGAAATAACATTCATTAAGGAGATGTGTAATCCCCGCAGGGGTCACAGACACTTGTTGAGATCGCGTTTACAAATGTGGTTGGTTTAGAAATGCTCATTTTCATCTGACTTTCTCTATTTTCTTCCGAATGGTGAAGCTTATATTTCAATCAGTTGTTTACATATCAAGTACGTTCGGAATGCAGTGATTTATGGAACATGTCAAATAAAACTGGATTGTGGTAAAGATTTTTCTTTGTATCTCTGAATTACTCTCTGTGCATCGTGCTTGTTTGAAATATAAAACAACGACAATAAGTAGCCAAGAACAACTGTTAAATGTTATTAAAACGAAAATATTTAAATCAAGGCCGAGATATTCAAACTTGAATAAACCATTCGCGCCCTTTTCATCCAACCATTTTTAGAGATCGCTCAAATTCATTAAAATATCCACCTGGCAAAAGTTCGTCGTCTGAATGTAATTAAAATACCTTTCAAGGACCATGATTAAGGACTGTCAACGCGTGTGAATCAAATAATCAGTTTGTACACTCGTAATCTTGACAGGGAATGCCGCATAGGATGGCACCAGATTTTACGCCGCCTCAACCATCCGACAGCGCAGGTAGTGCTTTTAAAGCCCTATTAAATTCGCCACGCTGCTGCCATCGTGTGGTCCAAGGTGTATGTTACAGCCTTTGGGACATTACAAAGGGTGCGGGAATTATAATGAATTTAAATGGTCGAAATCACACGTACAGTCCTGCTGCGGCTATGGTGATTGATTTGGCCGACGGCACGAAGTTCTTTATTTTGTCTCTGATCAGCAACTGAAAAAGCCAAACAGAAACGGTCTTCGTTTATACATACATGTTTAATGCAGACACATTAATACATTCACACATCCTGCAGATTAAAGGTCCTCTGCTCACCATAGCATCACAGAGATGCTGATGCAGTCACACGGTTTCCCCCTGCTAACCATGAAAAGCAGACAGCTGAAGACAGGAGACAAGAGCATGCCTGGAATCCAGAACAGCGAATCATCCCCCTGCAGATTCAATGTGCTTTAATTTACGTGGATCAATTTCAGAAAAAAAGTCTTTCTAGCTGAAGAAAAACACATATGATGTGAAAGACCTGTGGGTTTAGGGTTAGAAAACACACCTTGTGTGCTATTAATTTATTTGCATGTTTAAAAATTACAGATGAACCAATATAGAAAATCATAAGGGTAAAAACTTCATTCATTCATTCATTCATCCATCCATCCATCTCACAGCTGGTCAGGGATGCAGAAGGGCCTGGAGCCCCTCCCTCGCAACACAGGATAGGAGGCTGGGGTTCTCCCTGAAGGGGATTCCCATTTCTTAAATACTGATTTCTTCATTGCAATTAAGTCATACTTTTTAATCACAGTTACCCAGTTCAGCAGACAGATCATTCGCCCACAACAATAAGAAGGTGAATGTAACTCGTGTTGCCGAGGTGAGTAACCACAGCCTCTGCTGTTCCATGGCAGCTCACCGGCTGATTCACCAGAAGTAAAAACTGCCGTCTTTGTGGGTATTCTGTGTGCTGAACTGCTCTGCTACCAAAGTAAGTTATCGTTTATGATGAAACACTGATGCACAGGATTTCAGTTCAGCTTCTGTCTCTCTTCCTGCAGCTCCTCCGAAATGACTCATCTGAGGGGGGGGAAAAAAGATTCTCCGGCATTCAGGGAAACGTTACATTTGTAAAGTCAGTCAGCATGCGATGGAGTATCCTGGGACCTGAATCACAGAGCAGGATTCCTTGCTAATCATACCCCGTTAGATTTAAGGTAGTCCAGGCTAAATGCAAGTGAACAAAGATTTAAACTGGGATACCTTAAATCCAACATGTTAATCGGCTAAGCAAGAAATCCTGCTTTGTACAGGCAACTGAATCACCATCCTTTGAAACTGCCTTCAGTCAGATTAGGAGAAACTGGGCACTGGCCATCGCAATGTGCCCCACTGACAGATGCTGGACGGATCTGCCAATGGCCCCACTCAGAGAAAGACAAATCCTGACAACATAACATATAATTATGCTCAATAAGCAACAAAGTTAAAGCTCAAGAAAACAGCAGAGGTGGATTTCCAAAGGCAGCAGGGCTGGTTACAAAGACGAGACACCCGAGAACCAGCGCACCTCCCATAATTTTTGCAAAAAGCAAGACTCCCCACTGTGTTCTGGGAGCTCCGTACTTCCAGTAACACCATAAAAACAGTAATATATGCTAGGGTGACCAGATAATCCATGTCAGGGAGGACACTCTGAGCTAGGACAGGAATTGTAAATTACCATTTCAATTAAACGGACCTGGATTTTACTTGAGCACCGAGTTATTGCTGTGTGCTGATTGGTCAGTCTCCTATAATCATGCACGTGCCACTAATGCTAATGTAAAACAGCTGGATGAGTCTTTCAGTCAAGGAAACAAACCAGTCAAAGCACAAGAAGAGCTGAACTCTTTAGCTGAGCACAGGAGCCTTTTAATTTGGAAGTAGTTTGTAAAACCCAAAGTAGCTCAAAGTGTCCTCCCTGACATGGATTATCTGGTCACCCTAATATATGCACACTCACTTCCCTTGTTAGGAAGGCAGAATGCTGGAAAGGTGCCATACGTCTGTGTAGCATAAGTTATTACGTCTTAATTTGAAGACAAAAAGAAAAGCTTTGTAAGCCACCATAACTGAATACAGAGGGTTCAGCTGTATGTCGTCTCTCTGCTGTGACTTTTCAGGTGCTTATTCAGTTTGCCTAAAGCCATGAACTGCTTCCCACAGAAGGTGCAGCAGTATGGCCTTTCTTCCATGTGGATTCTTTGATGATTTTGTAGACTGGCTGCATCATTAAGCTGCAGACCACAGAGGGGGCAGCAGTACGACTGCAGTCCTGTGTGTACCTTCTGGTGCTTCTTGCAGGTGTAGGCATCCTTAAACCTCATGCCGCACTGTGTGCAGCTGTAGAGCCGCACTTGCGTGTGGACCCTCTGGTGGTTCTTGAGCGTGCCGTCGTTATTGAAGCGTTTGCCGCACAGGGAGCAGCTGTACGGTTTCTCTCCCGTGTGAATCCGCAGATGTATCTTCAGCCGGGACATGTGGCAGAAGGTCTTCCCACACTGTGGGCAGGAATGAGTCCGCTTCCCTGGGAGCTGCCTCAAGTTCACCGATGGCGGCTCTCGCATTTGCGCCCGCGAGTCACTGGCCCACACCGAGTCAGCTCGCTGCTGTGACTCACTGTAGCTGGGCCCATCGGCTTCTTTTTTAACAAGGTCAGGCTCCATATCTGCCACGTGCGGCTCCTCTGTGGGACTCTCGATCTGTACTTTGAAAAGTTCGGGCAGCTCTGAGTCCTGGTCGTGGTCACTCTTCAGGCCAGGTGGCGTAAACGGCAGACACTGCATGCTGGCCTCCTGCTGCCTCTGCCCGACGCAGAGCTTCTCCTCACTGGGAGAAATCTCCCTCTGGAGGCTCCAGTCCTGCCCATCCAGCTCCGGCTCAGTGGGGGACACTGCTTCGGGCTCAAGGTTCTCTATTGGTTGTGAAGCTTCTAGAAAGAAAGAACAGCAGCATATGCACAATGTAAAAATGCAAGGCCACTCTTTCTTTTTCTATAATGTCAGCATACCTAGGGGGGGGGGGGGGGGGGGGGGGGCAGCCAGTTGACCTTGGACCCCCAGAGGCTTTTTTTCTCCCTTCTTGGGAGTTTTTGGTTCCTCTCGTCTGCTGTCGTCTGGCATTCTTTCTTTCAATTGGTTATCTTCCCTATTCCCTGTTTTTGAATTATCCCACATAAATGATGCAGGAATGCACCTTGGGCCAAATTTGTATATTACAACAAATAGAGTTGAATTGAATTTAAATCAACTTGGCAACTTAAGTGTTTTTAAATTTATTTTCCATCCATTCATTTTCTGAAACCGCTTGTCCTATTCAGGTTCATGGGGGGTCTGCAACCAGTCCAGTAGGCTACGGGCACAAGGCAGGAAACAAGCCAGGATGGGGCCATCGCAGGGTGCACTCACACATAAGTTCATTTATTTTTTAAGCATATTCACATCAGTATGGTGGCTCAACAGGCAGCATTCCAGCTTTATTCCACCAGAGTAGCTAGTCCAAAGTCCCAATCATTATGAGAAAACTGCACGTTCTTCCCAGGGATGTAAGAACCAAGGGGATTGTGAGGACTTGTACAGCCCCCACCCCCCAATATTTAATTTGGCTTCATTCATCATCCAAATAGACCTTTGCATTTATATTATTTAATTATGCCCCCCACCAAACCGAACTCTCTCCTACGACATTGGTTCTTCCAGTACTTTTGTGTGTTTCCCCCTAATACCAAGACCTGCGGTCCAGCTTAATTAATCAGGCGCAAGCCTGAGTTACATGCCAAGAGCTGGCATCACAAAGATTTCTGTGACAGACTGCGATGAGAAAAGGTGGACAAAAGGTGGACAGTTTTTTCGTTTGAAAAGCATTATGCTCATAGCTCGACTCAGAAATAAGGCTGCTTATTTGATAAGCCTGGGTAGCACGTTGAGTAGGAAGTTGCAAATCGGTGGCTTCTGCAGACAATTTTGGTTGTGGTGGCCACGAGGGACCAGTTATATTTTTGGTGACCGCACCGCACCCTGTCTGTTCTGTGGTTCCGCTGAGACAATAAAATAATGCATATTTCCTTTTTAATATTTTGATGTAGGGTGGCAACAGGGGTTGCCACGGTAACACCTGAGATCCGCCCCTGTTGCACACTTAACCGTGCATTAAAGATAACTTGAATAATTTTTAAAACGCGGTTTAAACAACAGGCTTCCGACCGTTCCCTACAGCGCCGAAAGAAGGCAAGAAGTAGGGAAATATACACATGAGATCCTCAAGAGAGAATGACCAGAGTACATGGACAAGGTGGTAATTAGACAGATGCATTGCTAGCTTTGCACGACCCGGCTGGAAATTACTATTAAAGTAATTTACGCACGACATACAGCCGTAAAGTACAGTTTAAAGAGCGATTAACTTCACCCACCGGGCCAAACTGGTGCTTCCGCTCCGGCGTCCCGCAGCCTCCGCCGCAACAGCTCGATTTCGCGCTGTGCCCGGGCGCTTTCCTCCTCATATTCCAGCACCGTGCTTCCCACCACCTCCAGTATCTCCCGTACAGCAGCCATTAGCCGCTCGGTCAAATAATCATTCAAAAGCTGCAGCTTAGTCATGACGCTTCTCCAGCTTTCAAAACCCCCAGAAGTCGAGCAGCAGACAAGTTTTTTTGTGTCCCGCTTCCTGGTCACGTGACGTAGTGAAGGCGGGACTCAACTTCTCGTTACCGTAATACATGTTACACTAGTTACCTTACATCTCCACCACTATACTTAAAGCACATTCAGTTTAGAAAAGCGTTCAGCGCTGCCGCTTTCTAAATATTCATTAGGAGGATACGTGAAAATCTGTTTGTGGTTAGTTCTCCTATAGGGCTGTTGTACCACGATATGAATGCATTACGTTCCACTCATGCTGTGGTGAAGTGAAACTGCATTTGGTTTATATTCATTTTTAAAGAAGAACTGTGTCCCTGTTAAAATAACCTGTAATGAAAAGCTGAATAAAATCCTGAGCACCTGATCTTCTACTCACCTCCCCATTCAGTGTTTGTTCCCAGTCTGGATATAAATTAGGTTCCTGGGGGCAGCAGTGTCCTCAGGTGACCACTTAGGCACTTTCACGCTCGGCTGCACTACTTATTGCTCTTCACCCTTCTTATACAGTACAGTGAGCTGTTTAAAATAGGGCTGGGACACCTGCAGAGCCTAATGGAGCCAGGGCCAGCCCTGAAAGACAGGGGCCGTGTAGCCACAACAAGCTTTAATTGCAATCCACAATCATCACCACGAATGGGGACATGCTAGCATACAGCAATCTGCTTCAGCACGCCGCCGAGTCTGGAAGTTAAATACGGCTGCTAGAACTCACATTAAAAGTGGCCTCCTGTGCTGAGGGAGAGAAGACGGAACCGTCACACGAGAAAGAGGCCCTGGACAAGAAGCACTCATCTATTTTTAGTTTTTATTGCTGCATAAACAGATAGAGGCTAATCATGCAGTTGTGTTACTGTAAAATTGCCACTGAGATAAAGAGCATTTATTTCAGAGAAGTGACTGCAGCTTTTCAGAAAAAAAAAATGGGAAAAAAAAAATGTATTACGAAGGATCACCCACACAGATGCCTAATAGCCTAACGAAGCCTGCAGTGTGATCAGGGGAAAAAACCCAAGCCACATTCATTACAACTACTCGGCACAATCCACTCTGATCTAACATATTTCCAAGTCTGTGAATGTTACAGCAGCAAACATATATTGTTATTCCAATTAAAGGGTGACACCCGCCAATTCAGAATGAGATCAAACGATTCACAAGACAGAGAGAACACAAGTTCAGCAGTTCCTGTAATTTACAAAAGATGGTTAAACATCTCATGAGGGAGCAAATGTTGTATTGGCTGGATGGAGTCAGGCCCCACGATTCTTAATGACTCTGCGGCGAGAACCCAGTCCGTCTGGGTGCATGCTGCCTCCCCAAACTTCTGACACTAGTCACTACGGACTCCGTGACATGTGGCCAACTGCTGCTGGTCTCCAGCTTCTCAGTCAATCTCCCCTAAGCTGCAGGAGCGAGGGAGAGAGACACAGACACTTCAGGCAGCCTGACCATGCTTTTGCTGGGGCTCTAGCTGACCGGCCTGCTCCCTCACTTACCTAAGGGACACATGTGCTGTCCAAGCCTCAACCTTGATGACTCACTTGGTTATGTAGGGCTGGATGTGGCCAAAGTGTGTTGGGCTGAAGTAGGCTTAGAAGAGGGGAAAAAAGGGTGTAACATGAGCTTAAGCGATATATTTCTGACCTACAAACATGTTAAATGATAAAATATGTTAGGAGTTTAATAATGTTATGAGTCATTATAAAATATGTTATGCTTAAATAAGAGGACTTTGTGAACGTCTAATCTTAAACAGCAAAGCAGATAGTTTGAAATGTACCTTTATGTGCTGTACCAAGGTGATATCACTTGTGTTCATGGACCTAGAGAACAATGATTGCGATTATTAACAATCATAATCCTCAAATGCATGTAAACATTTGACTGGCCACACACTATTACATTGTTCTTACATGTGCTGGTTATTTTCCATCAAGTGGTTTTTGAAATGATTGTGAAGGCTGCTCGCTACTGTGAATGTCTTCGAGCAGTGCGTGCAGTAGAAAGGTCTCTCCCCGGTGTGGATTCGTTTGTGTTTCTTCAGCGTATCTCCATCATTGAAAGTCTTCCCACACAAGGTGCAGCGGTAAGGTCTCTCACCGGTGTGAATGCGCAAGTGCCTTTTGAGGTTTCCTATTTGAGTGAAACTTTTCTCACACCACGTGCATCGATGCGGTTTTTCCCCTGTGTGGATTCGCTGGTGCCTCCGTAGATCTGCAGACTGAGTAAATGACTTACCACACCAGTTGCAACTGTAGGGCCTTTCGCCACTGTGTATCTGCAGATGTGTTTTTAGATTGCAGATCTGACTAAAGAACTTTCCACAGTAGAAACAGCAGTGCTGTTTTTCTCCCACATAACTAACAAAATAATTCTCATTCAGGGGCTCATTTGACCTGCATTCGGCTTCTTGGGAATTACACTCATCTACATCCCCAGTAACTGGGACATCTGAAGGGACCCCCACGCTTGCTTCACCCAGGGTATCTTGCACTTTCGGACTGTGACCTAGATCTGCAGGCTGCTCAGACTTAAGGTCCACTTCACCAGGCTCAGTTTTGACTTGATCGGGTCGCAAGCTGGGTGTTTCCTGTTCTGTGGGCCCAACGATCAGCGCCTCAGTGACCGTATTCTTTACCGTCTGTGTGGCATTTGGCTCAGCACAGGCATCCAGAGGCGAGACCACTGACAGTGCAATCTCTAGGGCCAACTTTTTCAGTCCTTGTGTTGAACCCTCAGGGTCCGTCTCCACCACACAGGCCAGCTGCGACCCCCCAAGCTCCTCCCCCATCTTTTCAGATCTGCAGCGATCTTCAGTGGGAGCAGTCTCTACGTCCTGTCCAAGATGCGGGCTCCATTCTTGCCCACCCAGCTCCTGATCTGCTGGGGACCTCCCCCCAGAAATGGGGACAGCAACAGACTGCACATCTCCTGAGAGAGAGTGGAGACACAAACAAACACAACTTTTAGTTACTACAAAAAAGAAAAAAAAACAATTTTACTGTCACTGTCATATGAAACTCACGAAAGGCAGACATTCAGAAACTATGTTTATAATCAGGAAAGGGGAGATTTTTTATTATTATTTGTCATACGATTAATTCCATCATAATTCATGACTTAATCTTTGTTTTCAGTAATTGTCATTTTAAAGACTGCTACGCCGTGCTATTATAACGCTAATAAGACAAATGTCCTTCAAACATTCGAGCAGTTATGGGGAATTATATTTTTGATCATTCGTTTAAAAGGAGCTGGCAGCGGAGGTGGTAAACAGAAAACTAACAGCCCGTTTTATCGGTCTCAAAGATCGCTCGCAAAATAGACGGCAGCTAGATCCGCTGCTAACGACTGCTGGCCGCTTGTCAAATAAAAAAGTCATGGCAGGGAATGAGGCGCAGGGGCGCGGGAGGGAAGGAGGCTCTCACCCGCCCAGGGCGCTTCGGCCACCAGCACCACCTCCCTGAGCCTCCGCCTAAGGCTCTCGTTCTCCCGCTGCGCCCTGGCCGTTTCCTCCTGGTACTCTGACACCGTGTCTCCAACCACTTCGAGGATTTCCCGTACGGCTTCCATCAGGCGCTCCGTTAAGTATTGTCTTAAGAGCTGCAATTTAGTCATTTTTATCGTCCTAAATAAAAGCTGACATAAGGCAACAATGAAACACACCAATCTGAAGCACTTCCGGTGTATTTAATGACGTACAAAGTCGCTTCCGGTGTGATCGCCCACGCGACTGGTGACGCCTTCCGTAGGCGAGGTCAATCCCAGGCAGGTGTTTTTATAGCGAGTTTTGCGTTTTGCATTTTTCAAAGTAATCACAGCTGATTAAATGTAATGTATGTTTAATTCTTTACCTATATGTGAAACCTACAGAACAAATATGATTTCACACTGGCGTATGAAAATATTTCTTTTAAAAATAATTTAGTAAGTTTGAAAATGTATTGTGATGGACCTGGGAGAAACTCATTAATTGCTATATAGTTTTCTGTTACGTGTTGCAAGTGATTGATTGCTTGCGCACGATCGTTTTCACCTATAGGGGTTTATAGTGGAGTTTTTTAAAGCTGGGGAGATGGAGGATTGGGAAAATAAGGATTGTGGTGGTGACTCCTTGGGGTACAGCTTGACAGTCTCTTGAGGATAAGAGAGTAATTTAGTTAGGGGAGCTTGTGAAAGGTTGCGGCTTAGGACTGGATCCTTTTAAGTGTAACCACTCACCTCGAATACAGGGACCTGTTTAAATCTCCTTTGGGTTGGTATGCTGCACTATGATGTCTTACCTGGCTGGAATATCCTAGAACTCCATAGGAAGGGGGGTCTTGTCTAGCAGAGGCAGTGCTTAAAAATAAAGTGTGTGTGGTCCAGATATACCTTATCTAATGGGGACTTGTGGGGACCAAATATCCTCACAATGTGTTGAATACCCGTTTTTTTGACCTTATGGGGACTAGTTTCCTGCCCTCCTTAAAGGAAAACTCAATTTTCTGAAAATCCATGACTGCAGTCAAAAAACTAAAATGCAAAAACTCTTGTATTTTGTTTGGTTACTTATGGTTATGCTTAGGGGTTAAGGTTGTCATAGTTAGCGTTAGCATTTTTCCCATAGAAATGAATGAGTGGTCCCCACAAAGATATGATTATAGGTCTGTGTGTGTGTGTTCTGCGATTGTTCTGTAATATCAGGGAGTGCAGCATGGGTGGAGTTTGGGGGGAGGCACTAAGATGATAATGTAATTAATTGGCAAGAGCAGCATTACACATGTTCTATGCTGGCACTTTGCACCTTTGCATACACGGTTTGTTGGTACTTTATAGGTAGACAAAAAAAGTTATGTGTACATCAGAGATGTATGTTAACATGTAAGGTAAGCAAGATGAAGTTTTTTTGCCCCCCAAGTGCAAACATCCAACTCCGCTTATGGAGGGCAGACATGGTGATGTGCTTTAATGCTGGGTTGTGCTGTGTGAAGTTGCAGTTTGCTCTGTTGTGTGCAATGGTGAGATTTCCTGGCAAGTGCATTTATTGGAACCTTGAACTTATTGAGTGTGTAGCATGTTACGGCCCCTCTCAGGTGTAGTTTGGGTGGATTGTGTGGATGTTTCCTTGAGTGTATTGTTCTTTTCTTGGCTCCACCCACTGTTACTTGTTATACCTCTCCATTCTGATAGGCTGGTTTCTTCTTTCATCATTTACTTCATAAGGCCTGTCCAGACAAGAACATTGCTTTGTGTTGCTATATATTCTGAGGACTTGTTGTGCTGCTGATACTCATTGTGTTTGACTCCTGTTGCTGTTTGGCCATTGATTTTCCTTAGCCCTTCTTGGATTTGGTTACTTTGGATTTGGCTTTTGTAAATAGCCTGTAAATATCTGTAAATATTGTGTCCACTTTGAGTACCTGGGGAAGTAGGGAGTGTAATGCCATTCTGCTTTTAAGTTTTTTCACTGTTTTGGGGCTAGTTGGGGAGATAGGTAAGTTTTTTTTACGTACTTATGTGGGTTAGGTAAAGGGGTACCTTTTTCTAGTTTGAGCTATTTTGTTTATTTTGGCTTAGTTTGCTCCTGTGGCTTGTACTACGAAGGGAGTTTAACCAAATCAGATTTAAGCCGGAGTCAATTTGCGAACGCGGAATTGACAAAATTAGGTTGTCTCAATCGGTGCTAATCAATACTACGACGTCAGTTAAGAAGTTGATTTGTTACATCGGTGTTAACTGCATTGAAGTTTGTGCGCGTTCACATCAATGGAGCACGTTCGGCAGCGCAAGTCGATCACCGTTTGACTCACGGCACGATCTCCATGTTTCACGGAGGAAGACTGCATGCTAATTATGCAGGATTATGAGGAGTTCAAATCAGCGCTGCAAAGAAAGTCCAATACCACTGTAGCCGACCGAGTAAATGCATAAGTACATTTTCAGGGTCATAAAACGTGGTCTAAAATACCTCACGACTGAGTATTAGACGAAGTGTTTTCAGAAAAGAATTGAAATACAGTGGTACCTCAGTTCTCGAACTCACTAGAACTCCAATTTCTTGAAAGTCGGACAAACCAGTTTGACCTAGAACTCGATCTGAATATCAGAAGTCGAACCATGAATGCTGACCTAATATAAATTGTACGCGCCAGGAAATGAGTCATACTACAATGCAACTCTTACTTGAATGCCTTCTTCACAGACTGGACGATTAACAAAATAAAGCAGCGCAACATTACAGTAACTAACAATAAATAAACTACTAACTTACGTGTACTATTAGAGCATTTATGTCATTTATTTAAACTTTATTTTACCAGGTAAATTAACTGAAAACCAGTTCTCACTGCTTTACGTGATACTCGGGAGAAATAGCAGATTACGCAACGGAACTGCCTGGGATACAAACGTCATGCGTGTAACTAAACTCTTCAGCCAATAAGGGCAAAGATGTGTCATCACGGAGGCGGTTCCAGTTTGTGCAGCCGGGTGAGAGGTCGCAATGCATCTAACCGTAATGCATTGCATCAGGATCAGAATGTGTTGCTTTAAGCCAGCGCTGTAAGCAAGTCGAACGCACCCAATGACCGGACTGGGGAAACAAACTGAAACGCGGACTTAATACAGGGGACTAATGACAACAACCAGAAACAGCTGATCACATGGGGATCCCACACGAGCTTAATGAGGGGGCGTGGCACACGGAACAAGCGGACGATCAGGGAAGGACAGGGGTAATGTTGGGATAAGATCTTTATCGTTTTGGAAGCCATTAAGAAAAAAAATGCTCTTCTTGTTTTATCCTGTTCATTTTGTGTTTAAATGCTTAAAAAAAAACATATTTAGGTGTAATTTTGGGGGGCCGGGAACCAATTAATTGGTTTTCCATTATTTCTTATGGGAAAAATTCGATCAGGACTCCAACTTTTTAGGATTCAAATCGGAGTCCGGAACAGATTAAGTTCGAGAACCGAGGTACCACTGTACTGTTAATAAATACAGAGGCTCACAGATGCGACACAATTCAGAAGTCACCTATTATTTGCTGTTAAGTAATGTAATGCTCCCTAAAGTTCCATTACTGTGATGTTACTCATAATGTAAACCTAATGTTAACAATAACTTCTGACGAGTTGAGCTACCTATCGAGACGTACTATGGAGCTTTTCTGCGCATGTGCAGTTCCACCGTTTTGGGGTTAGGGTTAGGTTTTAGAGGTTAGGGTTAGGGAAGGGGTTTTAGGGATATTTTTGGGGGTTAGGGTTAGGTTTAGGGTAAGGGTTATGGTTAGGTCTATTGATTAGCTCTACGGTAGCTTACCTCGACAAAGTTAGCTCAATTCGACAGAACACCGGTGTTCTAACAAGTTGAGATACCTATCAAGACATACTATCGAGCCTTTCTGCGCATGTGCAGTTCCACCGTTTTAGGCTTAGGATTAGATTTTAGGGGTTAAGGTTAGGGTTAAGGTAAGTCTTTTAGGGGTTTTTGGGGGGTTAGGGTTAGGGCTATTGATTAGCACTTCGGTAGCCTAACTTAACAAAGTAGCTCAACTCTACAGAACACCGGCATTGTCTACGGGGAAATTGTAGTTGGATGGGCGGTGCTCATATAGGACTGGCTTACGCAGAAACCTCAACTTACCCAAGAACATAAACTGCTCGGAGCAGGTTTGAGACTTAGCGTAAATTGCCATAGCAGCATGCCTCGAGTGAAACCTACCCACCTTTCGTAGTATGGGTTAATTGCGAAGTTACACCACACGTCATCAAGTTACCTGCAAAGTTACCCTGATAAGCCAGTAACCCCGCTTCGTAGTACAGGCCACAGGACGTAACGTGCATTCTGCTCAGTGTTGTGACTATCCAATATTGAGTGTACGCAGTAGCCTATGGTCGGATCTTTTGAATGCTTAATCAAATAATTTATTCTTTGAATCTGGTCACAGGTTGCGGTTTATGCACTTAGACTAGTGAGCAACTAGTGGGGTTGCGACTAAATTTCAGTTTATTACATCAACTCTGCAAAACTAGGCTAAACTAAAGCAATTTTGTGTATTTGAATTACCAAAATATGAATGCAATGACTGGCAATAATTTGAGTGTGCAAGGTAATCTCCCTGAAACTCAAATTCCCAGGGCTGATCCTAAATAAACAGTCTTGGACATGTATTAAAATTAAGTGGTATAAAAATCAGATGAAACTCTGCAAATCAAGCATTATCCCACTTGGATCGGCTGTATAAGAAGATATAATGTATCAGTTGCCCCTAATGGTATACAGACATGCATTATTTTGTCATTTTTGGTCAGCCAATTGAGTGACAGAAAACTTACAGCCATTAAGACTCTCAACACGTACATGATGCAACAATATGGCTGCTATCCTTTGTGGATTCACTGGTAATCAATTATATCTACACATGTAGAGTGACTTTTGTGTGAATATGCAGATTCACATTGGGGTGGTGAGTATTTGTGAATGACCTATAATGAGGACAGGAATGGGATTCACTTTCCTGTCATTAGTCAAAAGCCATTCAGACTGTTTAGCATCACTCTGACACTCCTCAAAATCCTGACTCTCACTGCTGTGCAAATCTGGCCAACTGTGAGTTAACTGAGTCAATCAGCTGTTTCCATTCACTCCTGTTTCTTCCATCTGATCCACTTTAATCCAGTAACACACACATTAGGCAGCATGCCTACTGGCCCAGTGAGTTTCTCCCTCAGTTGGAAACTTCTGTGTCATGCTGGGGTACAGTCTTGATCGTGGTTTGGACCACATTGCTTCCAAAAAGCCAGCCATAAATATGGAGTCAGGTGGTATTCTGGGTAGGTCTATACCCTCCGGTTTTGTGGGCTTGACACCCTCTACTGTTTTTTTGTGCGTGATGTTATCCGTTTTTATATAAAAGTCGGTGTTTTTCGCTTTGTCACATTGTAGGATATGGAATTTCAAAAATGACAACAAAGATTACAATGGTGAATGATTGTAATCATATTAAAAAGCCATTATTGATTACTTAACACTGACTTCAGCAAGAAGATCGAACTACGTAATCGACAGGTAATGTATAAAAACTATGCTATCACTGAGGTTAAATTCAAGGTAACGTCCACACCCGCACTGCCGTAATCCCGATCTGTAAGAGTTATATCGTGACGATTACTGACCCGCCGTGTTTTAGCCTGGTCAATGATAAACGCGATTATTTTAATGTGACTTTCTCCAAATGGTGAAATCACAATCCCCCGCGATGCGCGGACTCAGCCAAATAAAGGTGCTGATCTGTTACATTTGTTCCTTCCTGTCTGCACCTGGTGTCTCCACACCCCGCCCTCCATCTCCACTCTGCACTGCATTATGACAGCCAGTATTTCCCCCCTCTCTCCTACCACCTACGTTTTTATTACTTATTTAAATCACTCGGCCAGATTGGATCAGACAGTTCTTTGCGGCGCTCAGACCGTTTTAATGACAAACCGATCTTTTTATCCAAAGCAGCAGCTTCCACATATTTCACTATCCCCGCACTTTCCCTCTCACATTTTTCTTTATATATAGATGCATAGTGAAAAGTCAGCGGTCTTTTTATCCTTCTATCTCGCCGACGGTTTCCCTGGCAACGGAAATCCCCTCGGCACAAATACAACGTGGGGAGCAAATGCAAGCGAGCAGAAAGGCGGCGGTGCAGTTGCCTCAGCATTTAACATACCAGCGGCAGTAACTCCACGCTGCTCTTTTCATATAATGACCGTTTATTATCAGCACACCTTGAAATTCGCCCACTGTTTTCGTTTGTGGATGAAAAAAAAACCAGCCAGCTTTCCATAAGTTTTTTTTTTTTTTTTTTTTTTTTAAATGAAGACGGTCACTTAAGACATGCACAGGCACTCGGTGCTACATCGTTGCAGTATCAGTAAGACTGGTTATATGGATATAAATAGTTTCAGATTAACCTGATGAATGCACTGTGGTTTTGAAACAGTTTTGCCATCGCCATTTAACGATAAAAGACTGAACAAACGGCATGCATTATTTTCTGTGCGTACAGTTTTGTTCTATTGCTGTTACAAAAATGTAAAGTATCACCAAAGAAAAAAATGCAACACCATTGCCAACAATAATAATCACAATTCTACTACCTATGTGGAAACTGTGAGGATTAACAGTCAGATTCCATGTAGTATATTGTATAACATTCTCATGATGTGTTAATAGCATATTAAATGTGCGGGAAAATACAATCAACAAATATTAATACTATTTGATTAGTAATTTCTGCAACATTTGACAGTGCAAGTGGGTAATATTATTCAAACCTATCTAAAAAGCCAAAACAAGCCGCCATTCTCATGCAGCAGTCAATGTTAATCTACAGCGTGACCAGCTTCCCCCACAATAAATGCAGCTTCATGGTCATGCGGCAGTCAAACGGTGGGGTTGCAGATATTTGGGCAGCAATCAGAGCCACCCTGCACTGCAGACACGCAGAGGGACAGTGTCCAGCTGGATCACAGTGTGGCATTACGCCAAACGCTCCCTCCCGCCCCCATGCGCCTCTGTTTCCAGGTGAGAGCTGGGTCTCCCTGCACATGGCACGCGCCACACGCATCTGTCCCAACAGCCTCGCAAAGCAAGTATGAATTTATAACCTTTCTGCTATTTTTAGAGAAAAATCAGGCCACGGCACATTTAAACCTCGTATTTTAAATCGTGAAATGTTTTGATAGTTTACCAAAAATGTTAACCTTGGCTGCTTTCCTAGAAATGTCTCTATACCACAAAAATGCATCTTACACTGTCCCCTCCGCAATACTGACAGGAACAGTATGTCCCCAGCGTACTGTGTTATTGTAAACATTTTTTTTTTTCTTTCAGAAACGGCGCAGACACTAAACCTTATAAGCTTCCCGTACAACTAGGCAAGATGCAGGCAAAGCCTCAGGCAGCTGCATCAAAACACATTTCCAAAAGTGACTGACAGATTTAATCTGTCACCACTTACAGACACAACTCTAGTTGAAAACTGCAAAATGTCTGGAATAAAAAAATAATATTCCAGGTCCAAGCAGGCACTGTTACTGCTAGTACAAAGGACCCAGGAGGAGCTCTGAAGCTGACATATTCTGGCACGTTCTTCTGACAGGAGACACTCTCGCTGATGCAGAATAAAACTCCACTGTCTGCCATAACTGCTTTCATGTCTAAATCATCCAATGGGATGCAGGACACCCCAAAAAAGTCGACAGCCATTTTTCCCCATTCTGTTGTCCCTCTGTCCTCTGGGTGCTGGTTCCATTCCTAGCAGGCTGGTGGCCCTGCTCATCCTTTCTTCCGTCTCCTCCACCTCTCCCTGGTTGCAGCACACGTTGCTCCGTTAATCCGCTCGGAGGAGTTCCCCCTTCCATTCTGCAGCAGCTCGGCAATGCAAACACCCTGAGATCCCAGAAACACCAACCTCAGTTTCCTGGATCGGGGTTTGTGACATGCTATACTCTCTTCCTCCGTCTGCCCACATTTGAGCTTCACATTTAGGAAATCTGCAGGTTCAGAAAATCACAAGCACACGCTCTCCAAACGCATCTCGGCAAGTCTGCACATTCTTAATCAATGCATGCCATGCTGAGAGTAAAATGTAACTCCTTTTGTCAAATGAGGTCTTGTCAATATGGTACAATAGAAACAGTAACATTAATTTATTCATTCATAGATGTTTGGAGTGGGTGCTTAGTAATTGGAGCCCGTTAGATTTTTGCCGTGAAGTACAGTGTTGTTTTCATAATTACGTAAATATGTCCTCTCGTGAATGATGATTCAATGGGAGAGTGTGGGTTCTCACAGTGGCGTTACTGCCAGTGCAGCAAGTTCTGCTGAACTGAATGTCAACGTAGAGAGTGCTGATCCACTTCAGTTCTGAATGACATTCACCCACACATGCCTGGAAGCCATGGGATGTCAGAGCTCATGTTTTCGCTTGGTAAAGTAGTTTTTTCACGTTTTCAGATCGGAGCTGAGGATGGTGGTTTTTAGTAACCCACAGTGGTTGAGTATAGATGGAGAAAATGGCCTGATTTGGTTGGGGCGATTTGTAGGTCTGGAAGCCCCGGCCTGCGATGATCTCAAACTCAGGACTTGAGGATGACTGAAACACAGGAGGTGAGAGTTAGCTGAGGATTCTGACACCAGAAGAAACAACCTGAATTTGGAGCAGAGGACTGGCCAGGGGGCGCAAGGTACTCACTGCCCCAGTTGATGACAACAAAGGTGATGATGATGATGACGCCGCCCACCAGGGACACCAGAGAGAGAAGTTTACCCACCCGGGCCAGACGGCGGGCACCGTCCACATTTCCCTGCTGCAGGCTGATGCGAGACTAGACAGGATTCGGGGCAAAGCAAAGATGGGAGAGGGTGACTGGGAGGCACAGGACGGGCAGGAGCAAAGACAGACAGACGGACACTGACGGGCAGACACAGGCAGGCAGCAGCACAGACACTGACAGACAGACACAGGCAGGCAGCAGGACAGACACCGACAGACAGACAGACACCGACAGACAGACACAGGCAGGTCGATACCAACACTGCTCACCATGACTGAGAAGACCAGGGCTATGATGTTGAGAGGCCACATGGGACAGAAGCAGGACAGGATGGCAAGCAGCAGGTAGTCTTCTTGCTTGGTGCCATCATTGAGGCCGACAGTGGCGGTGCTGGGGTGGCGGGAGAGGGAGGGCCGCGGGGAGGCCGTCATGTGACTCTTCAAACTGGAGTGGCTACCCAGCCGAGCCCTGCCGTTCGGCACAAGTGATTGTGATGACAGGTGAGACTTGGAGTGCTTGCGAGTCGGGGGGGAGGATCGGGACGAAAGGGGGGGGGAGTCCGCAGGGAGGGGGCACACCCCGTTAGCTGCCAAGAGAGAATAGTCAATCTCAGAGGCATAATGCTAAAGCTAACTGTGCATCAGTAATATCAGGTTACAGCTGGGGAATACAACATACACATAACCGAAATGCTAGCGCTAATTGTAATATGAGGCTACAGCTGGGGAACAGCACCCACAGCCAAAGTCCAGAGTCAGCTATAGTGCAGTACAAGAAGAAAACAGAGAGCATTCAGTATAGCCAATTCAGTTTTTCATTTGTGGACTTCTCAGTGTTATTACATGGGCAATCCAGCTATCTACTGTTAAATACAGACACCTGCTGGCAGCAGGAAAAAATAACTTAAACCGGAAGAAAGATTGAACACTGTGCTGTATACGTTTGCATCCAAGAACAGGAAATCCTGTACGGATTAAGTGTTAATTTAAAAAAAAAATTCAGAAGCGTGTTTACTGTTCTCCGTCCGCTCCGACACTGTAAGCATTTGGTCAGTGTGCCAAAACTCCTCCTTGTGGGCAGCATCAGGACCCCGGAGCCCCTGGCTGGAGGCGGAGCGAGGGACTTGCTGCTCCCCGCCGGTTGGCTGACAGCTGATGACGGACAGAACGGACTCCTCCTCTTTCTGCAGGTTGGTTCCTGGATCTGGATGTCGCTGCGGCTCCTTGATTTGGGCGGAATCAGTATTCTGCGTGTTTAACGCCATTGTCGCAGCTGAAGTTGTCTCTTCTGCAAGTGGCAACTAATTAACTGAAACAAAGGAAAACATACACGACGGAACATTTATCAGTGATCGTTTATCATTTCAGTCGTGTGCTTGAAATACTTCTTTCTATCGTTTAGACGTGCAAGTTTTGCATAAACTAGAGAGAGTACCATCAAGAACTAAGGTACGATTTGCAGGACTGGCTCTGTAACTCGTACTGGTTATTAACCCTCACCGGTCGTGTCCGGCACCGCAGACTTTGCCCCTGCGGTGAACCAAGAGAAGTAACAGGTTCGGCAAGCCGCCGGGGCAAAAATGTAGGAAAATTGGAGAGACTGGCAAGCAAGCAAGCGGCGGGGGTCAGTACACCTCTGCCTAACTTCCTACAGCTGCACTAAAATATTTTTTTCACACATGAGCAAAATGTGCTCACACGATGCGTCGCTGTGGGCTAAATAACGAACATGTTTTTAGAGCTGCATATATATGGAGATATTATGAACAGAAAATATATCTGGCGAAAGAGAAAACAGAACGGACACACCCCCGGTGTATGAAGCGAGACAGTAGATCCAGACCGCACTCACAACATGCATACACCTATACCGCATTACATACACGCGTGTACCATAAACAGATAAGCTGATAAATATTTAAAACATTTACAACCCACCTTATTACTTATGCTATCGAACGGAATGTTCAAATCATCCGAAAAGCCACAAATACCAGCATTTTATTCTGCGCCGAAATGTTTTAAGAGCGGGGTTTCATATAAGGCTCCCGAGAGACTGCAAAATTGCGAAATTAATTAAACCAGCATTTGCCATCAGAGGGAAAATGAGCCCGACACACTGCGTCTCCAGTGGCGACATTTGCCAAAGAAGCCAACTTATTTGCGCCTCCCCGGAGGCTATGAGCCTTTCTTCAGCGCTGCGAAGAGTGCGGAGCGCGATGCGGGAGCCGGCTGCCTTTCCTATATGGGCTAGTCGCATTCTCCACTTGATGGGAGGATTTCATATGAAGAGGGAGGTGCGCGGAGGGAGGGGTGTGGGCTGCAAGCAGGGACAGAGGACCTAACAAGTCGTGGGTAGTCACACATGGGGGGGGGGGGGGGGTAAGGCTACAGACAAATGCGCTCGCATTTTCTCAGCTTGTATCTATCTATCTATCTAATCTATCTAATCTATTTTATCTATCTTATCTATCTTATCTATCTATCTTATCTCCATTCCAACAGTTTATCTTGATTAAGATTGAGGCGACGGGGGCAGGGGGCGGCAGTGCGGCTAAAACCAAACGCCTGAACTATTTATTATTATTTATTTTGTCGCGGTGGACTCTGTGTACGGGGGATGGGGGTGTCGTAAGATTTTTTTTTGATGATTATTTGTTAGTACATCGTATGTACTTCTAGCAAGGAAAAGTGTGAGAAGAGGGCGTCCTCCAGCGGCGGGATATCCTAACTTTTCTAACAAGAACACAGTGTCCGTCTCTTCATTAGGCGTTTTCACCTACCTGCCAAAATGACAAATTTCTCGTGAGACCTACATTGTTTTGTTAATTTCCTTTTGTTGTCATTTAAAGTAGTTTGTTGCAAATAAGTGAAATATGTTAACACATACATTTTCCCATATTAGGGTTGGGAAGTTAGCTTGATTTCAGGTAAGTTAACTGTATTCAGGCAAATGACACTTAAACCGGACTCAAGGGCCTCATTTTATGTCAGGGGTGGGCAATCTTATCCAGAAAGGGCCGTTGTGTATGCGGGTTTTCGCTGCAACTCCCCAATTATATTACTAATTAGAGGCCTGGGTTTGAACAGCTGACCTAAAGGCTATCCCAAAAATCTGTCTACCAACCGGCCCTCTGAGGATGATTGCCAACCCCTGTTTTGTGTAATGCGCCCGGTTATAAGCAAACGCTTGAGCCTCCTGGCCGAAGTTAACTACGGCATGTTTAAACTTTCCTGTAGGTGGTGCTATTATCTAAATGGGCAAAAAAGGCTGAGTGGACTGACTGTCAATAAATACATACCTGAACGTACATGAATATATACATATACAGAAATTTAAAGTGCAGTAACTCGCAATTTTCCATTCTAATTTTTTTCAACCGTTTCTATTTATCTGTGAGATCGGATAACTGCTACGGAATAGCACATAGAACAAAGTCCAGATTGTCTATAATGTTAATAACCCTTTACGGAAAAGCTCGCGTGTATATAGTTTTTGGGGTTTGCCAAGTAACACAGAGCATTTTGAATCAAATAATTAATTAAAGTGAGTAGTACATCATTCAACACAAGGCTCAGTCGGTATACGACAGTGTTGCTCACAGCTGAGATTCGCTCTTCCGCCATCTACCGGAGAAACGGCGCATAAACGCCTGAATGAATCGGTACGAAATACAATTTAGAATACAATTTCCAATTAACAGATAAGATTAAATTTACTGATGTCTCAGTCTTGCATTTTTTGCACACTTCTGCTGCTGCAGTAGAGTATCTGTCATAATACTATATTTATTCAAACTAATATTGTTACTGTTATTGTCGACTGTTCTGTGTGTTGTCCTGTAATAATATTGTTTTGTTGCTCTTTTGATTATTTTGCACACTCTCTCTTTGCTCTCCGTATAGTTCTGTCCTGCCTGCACTTGTGTAGTTTTGTGTTGTTTCTGTTTTTTTCTTCTTTGTGCTGCATCATGGTCCTGGAGGAACATTGTTTCGTCTCACTGTGTACTGTATATATGGCTCAAATGATAATAAACCTACTTGACTTTGAGTAAAGTGTAAATAAACAAACATATAGCACAAAACAAGGCAAAGTGCCAGCACACACAGGCCTACTGCAAATAAGTTTTAAAAGCACTCAATACACAAGTAGAACATTTGAAAACGAATACTAAGCAAATAAACATAAATTAACACAATACATAAAATACATAAAGTAAATCCACGGAAGAAAAACAGCACCGGACGTTTTTATTAAGTACAATAAGTAATAGGCTATATAACATATAAAATATAGCATATAAAATATGTCAAAAAAAAAATCTATGCATCCATTTCCTAGCATTTTAATGCATGTGTGTGTGTCTATATATATATATATATATATATATATATATATATATATATATATATATATACATACACATACATACAACTCCATTGAAGTTACACAGTCGCATAAATCCATTTTAAACCCTTTAAACTACTTATGAGGATCGAGGCGGAAAAATATCCATGGAGTCGGCGATCACGTGGATAAGGCGGAAGTCAGGTCGCTTCAATATGGCTGCCCCGATCTAAAGAAAGCGACGCGGATCTCATCTTGTGCTGGTGATCTGCTTTAAAAGGCGGCTTCAGCCCGCAAACAAACGCCTTGTCCCACATCTCGGCAGTGAGGATTAGTGCGCACACGCACAGGTAACCATCAGACGGTGTAAATCGAAACCGGTCAGCTGACCTTTACCGCAACGTCGACAGCGATGATTAATGCACATTGTGTTTATATTAGATTGCAGCTCTGTTGATGTTGATAGTCAGGATACATTTGTAATAATTGTATTCACACTATACTACGGGATTAATATGATAATTTTGTAAATCAAAGGTTGGATAAGATCCATCGTAGTGTGAAATTTTAGTTAAGCGATAAGCTTCACTGAACTTGTTCGGAATAAGTCTCTTTTAGCGAGCCTGTTTTCTCCTCTCCTGTCAGCCGCTCTATCTGGAGAGTGGGTCACTGCTACATGTTTACAACTCTGGGCTTTCCCGTCACAGAAATTATCATATGCTTCCTGGTTGCTGTTGGTGACTCGGCTGACTGATTTTGTTAACATTTGCTTTGTATTGTGTACGAGTTGATTGTGTTAGGCTGTTTTTGCACCAGTCTTATCAAGGTGAGCTCCTCGTGACTCCTCAGTGAACTAATTATCCATCCAAAACTTAAACACACATACACACACTCAGACTGAGAGTTTGCTTACAGGCAGTTTGCAGTCTCCATCAGCAGTTTTTAATCTGTGTCTAATAATCTGCCTTCTGTGATGAGATTGCAGTGTCCAAAAGTTCACAGGCTTACAGCTGCCTGCTATTCTGCAGCGATGTCACTTGCTGAGTCCAGCTCACCCTCGGCGCCTTTCTTCTCGGACGACAATGAGACCGAGGGGTCTGGTGAGCCGGGGTCGGCGCTGGCGGGGGAGGAGCCAGCCAGCGGAGTGACCAATCGGCGGGCATATTTCACGGTGACTGTGCTGTGCTACGTCAACCTGCTGAACTACATGGACAGGTTCACCGTGGCTGGTACTCGCTGCTTTATTACGGTTCTGTTGCATGAAGGCCAGATGCTGTTGTCATGGCAACACCGAAGTAGTTCCCTGGTAATGGGACAGAGAGGAGTCCTTAACCACACTCTCCTGTTCCCAGGTGTTCTGCCGGACATTGAACACTTCTTCGGGATTGACGATGGAAAGTCAGGATTGTTGCAAACAGGTGAGAGTACCTGCTCGCATGCTTAGTAATTTGGGGTCTGGGGATGTGGAGTGGTTGCTATGGTGACATACCGGGTTGCTATGGTGACCGGGTTGGGGGTGAAAGGCGATGGACGAGGTGCCCCCACAGTTTCACTCATACTGCTGCCAGACACTTATCTCCATGGACTAAGCCTAAACCTAACCCACTCTCTAAACTGCTTCTTTCTGGTTTTCAGTTTTCATCTGCAGCTACATGTTCCTGGCTCCCGTCTTTGGTTACTTGGGCGACCGCTACAACAGGAAACTTATCATGTGTGGGGGAATCAGCTTTTGGGCGCTGGTGACCCTGGCCAGCTCCTACACCCCCAAAGGCGTGAGTGTCCGCCTGCCCCCCCCGGCTGCAGAATTGGGGATGGACGTTTCTTTACAGAGAGCTTTCTTACCAGGGGTCTTACTCTGCCCTCCCCCCGCAGTACTTCTGGGCCCTGCTGCTGACCCGTGGGCTGGTGGGGGTAGGTGAGGCCAGCTACTCCACCATAGCCCCCACCATCATAGCAGATCTGTTCGTCAATGAAAAGAGGACCAAGATGCTGTCGATCTTCTACTTCGCCATCCCGGTGGGCAGGTCAGTGTGGCTGTGTGCTTCTCACCAGAGACTGGAGCCTGCAACTGTATTTAGCTCCTCTGGCTCTAGGACAGCATAATCTGAACAGCGTAATCATGTCTCGCCCCCTACCCCTACACAGTGGTCTTGGCTACATCGTGGGCTCCAGAGTGGACAGCGTGGCACAGGACTGGCATTGGGCTCTCCGGGTAGGTCTAGGACCAATCAGAAGAGAGCTTGTAATTGTGCCTTAACAAAGTGGCTAATGTGGTATGAGACAGCAGATGGGTGATGTGGAGTATGATCTGATGTGGTTGTGTCGAGCCTGACCCTCCTTCCACAGGTGACGCCGGGTCTGGGCCTCCTGGCGGTTCTGCTGCTGCTGTTTGTAGTGAAGGAGCCACGGAGGGGTGCCATCGAGGCCCGACCAGAGCACAGTCTGCACAGGACCAGCTGGGCGGCGGACATCCAGGCCCTCAGCAAGAAGTAAGACCGGTATCTTTCTGCCACAGCTAAAGTAACCGCAACGAGTGTGTGGCAGTATCACCATGGTGATCCTTGGCCCCTCCCCAGCCCCAGCTTTATCCTGTCCACCCTGGGCTTCACCGCCGTCGCCTTTGTCACTGGCTCTCTGGCCCTGTGGGCCCCGGCCTTCCTGTTCAGGGCTGCCGTCTTTACCGGCGAAAAGAAGCCCTGCTTCTCCGGGACCTGCGACAATTCCGACAGGTGGGTGGGGCATTTGGGGGCGAACGTGGGGTCACTCAATTCCGGTGACACTCCAGTCAGTGCCTCCTCTTTGCCGCAGATGGTGTCATGTGACAGTGAGCGGCGTCTCTATTGGAGGGGAGCGTACCCTGATCCAATCTGATCTGTCCCATATTTATACTATTTTCAGAGTCTCGATCCGACCTTTTAATAACTATTTAAATGTACATACTGCAGCTGTCGCTGCATTCTTTGTCTGAGTAAGCCTCGTGATTTTGGCATATTCTTCCTTACGATGTTTCTGCATTTGCCTAATCTGATTTGCTGTATTGCACAATGCCCTGTTGCTACCTCCTCCCAGAATAATGGCATTGGAGATGTTGCAGGTAGCTGTCGGGCTACTTTTGAATTTGCAGCTGAAAGAATTTCCGCATGGCTGACATCTGGATGGTTTGTAGGTTCACTCGGCGTGCTTAAGGCATAATATTGTGGCGTGTGCCGGAATCGTACGAGCCGGCGCAACTGAAATAAATTAGGCGGACGCAGGAAATGTGAATAAATGAGGCTTTAGTAGCTGATACCAATGAATAAAAAAAAAATATCCTGGAATGGACCCAGTTCTGATCTTTGATATGGGCTTGGGACATGACTGCCCCCTGTCTCTCTCTCTCTCCCCCTCCCTCCCTCTCTCTCCCCACCTCCCGCAGCCTGTATTTCGGGATCATCACCTGCGTAACGGGTGTACTGGGTGTGGCCAGTGGCGTGGCCATCAGTACCTGGCTAAGGACGCGGACGCCCCGCGCCGACCCACTGGTCTGTGCTGCCGGACTCCTGCTGGCGGCGCCCTTCCTCTACCTGGCCATCGTCTTCGCCCAGGCCAGCACCATCGCCACCTATGTGAGACTCGCTCCCCCTGTGCCGAGCAAACGCACCCTGCTCAGTGGATGCCCGTGACGCGTCACGCTTGCCGACTGGGCCACGGTCGTGGCGTCTCGCTTTTCCGCTTCTCCTGAGGCGTGTCTCTCTCGCTCTCCTCTAGGTGTTCATATTCTTCGGGGAGACCTTCCTGTCCATGAACTGGGCCATCGTGGCTGATATCCTGCTGGTGCGTATCAAGGGGTCACCGCTCACCGCACACATGAAGTGGGATGATTGCACTAGGGACTGGTTTCTGTTGCCGTACTGCGGGGGCCTGGATCGTGACGATGTGACGTTTACCATCGTCCCAGTAACATGAATGATGTAGCAGCTTATTTGTAGATGTTTGAAAACCATGGGCGGCAGTTTAGCGCCTAGCTGTGGTGCTGCTCAGTGTCTCAGCGCCGGGTCCAGGCACCGGCAAACGCCGCAGCTGTTTACGACCCAAGGGGGCCCAGGCAAAGGCATGGGGGGAAAAACAATATATGTAATGTATAAGATTATATAACAGATTAAAATGTCGATGTGCAGAAGCATGCCTAGCTCTAGTTATAGGCAGAATAGGCAGTAGCCTAGCCCCCCCCCCAATTATGTGAAATGATCATCAGCTTTCTTGGTTGGGTGGCCCCTGAAAAGGTGAATCTGGCCGGGTGCCCCCTGCCCCTTGTCCTGCTGCTGTGTCACATCCTGCCACTCTGAGTCCCTCGGGGCTCAGCTTTCCTTGTACTCTCCCGTCTTCCTGATCTCTCCCCAATTTCCACCTCTCTCCCAGTACGTGGTCGTTCCCACGCGGCGCTCCACTGCCGAAGCCTTCCAAATCGTTATCTCCCACTTGCTGGGGGATGCTGGAAGCCCCTACCTGATCGGAGTGGTGAGTCTCTTCCCCTCGGGCGCCGTGCGGGACCTGCCCTCGGGACCTGCCCTCGGGACCTGCCCTCCTCCCCGCTCTTCTCACTCGCCTCCCTTGCAGGTGTCCGACCACCTGCGGCAGGCCGACTCGTACTTGTGGCAGTTCCGCTCCCTCCAGCTCTCCCTGCTCCTCTGCGCCTTCGTGGGGGTGGTGGGGGGGGCTTTCTTCCTGGCTACTGCCCTGTTCATCGAGAGAGATCGTAAGCTCGCCCAGAGCTACACACACTCAGGTGAGGCACAGCTGCCCTGACCGCCATCTTAAACACTTTGCTGTGATCATTCTGTTACTTTGCGACAATGGATGATATGTTGATAAAACGAATCCATTTTTGCTTGTTTGCTAAAAAAAAAAAAACCTAAATGCTAATGAGTGTGAATTGCTTACCAAGTCTTGGAATCATCATCTCTAAGGAAATGTAACTTTTTGTCTTGTCAGGTGATGAACCAATTGTCGTGCCCAAGAGAGGAAGGTCCACAAAAGTACCAGTATCGAGTGTGCTGATTTGATTAGAGCCAGAGGAATGTGAGAAGATCTGCCTTCTTTTGGGAGGACAGCTTTTTTTATTGCCTGAAAGAGGGGGAACCAGTTAAAAGTTCAACCAAGATTTTTCTGCTGCAGCTTGTCAATAAATTTAGAAATTGGACTTTTTTTCTATTTAGCCAAACTATTATATTTGGCTATTTATTATTGTCGTGATTTTTGTTTGTATTCATTAACCTGTTTTCAGGAGCAGTTAATACAGGAAGACACAAAATGTGTTTTATGTTCGTATTTTCTGACACTTTATCATGAAACACCCATTACCTCTGATAACTGAGAACTGACACAGGTGAAAAGGCAGCTCTGAAGCCAGACTTGTGGATCTCGTTGGAAGCCTGAAGAACTTTCCATCTGCCTTAGACTTGGACTGTAGTACAAGCTTAGTTTTACGCCCACATTGAAAGGACTTTAGATTGAGGTGGGGCGCCCCCTAGTGATGGTGGTCAGCAGCCCGGTGATGATCATGATGTGACACTTTCTGCAGGACTCTGTTACGGTCAGATACTAATTCTGCACAGGTGCTGATGTCATCGGTGTGGCTTCAGGCTGCTACACAGCATTTGGCAGGTGTCTGTGCAGCGGCTTCGCTCCAGTGGTGAGACACCTCCTGTACGCCACCTACTGGGCTGCCCTCACACTCAAGTCTATATTCCTAGTTTATGTGGCATGTTACGTAACAAAGTATTTTTCTGAATTATTAAGACTTTTCTGTGATTGGCACTAGACAGCACATCACCCACATTCATCATAAAATGCTTCCTGAACCTCTTGAAAATTACACTAGTGCAGTTTTTAGCTGTCATAATTTCACTAATGTTAATGTTAACGTGTCTGTCCAGGTTGTTTTCTCTCCCTGATATTGTCGGCCCATTCGAGCAGAATGACATGGCTGCTCCT